AGATATAACAAAAATTTTAAAAATTCTATTTAAAATAACTAAATTATGGAAGATTTATAATTATAGAAGCTAATAAAGAAATTTATAATTTGGTTAAATAGTAATATTATAAAATAAGGATAATATTTTAATATATGAATAGACAAATTTATAAAAAAATTAATTAAGTAAACTAAATAGGTTAAAGGTGTTATTATTTAATAAAAGACTAATTATATTACCAAAATATTAATTAATATTTTTGTGATATAAATATATTTTTTTATGGTAATTATCTAAAACTGAATAAATTTTAGTTATTTTAAGTTTAAATAATTATTAACCTTTATAAATTAAATTACCTATTATTTAAATATAAATTTTAAAAGGATAAATCTATATAAGAATGGATGGAATTAGTTTATTTAAAAATAAATGGTTGATATTAAAAAATATTGTTTAAATTTAAGTATAACCCTATAATATAATTAATATATTAATTATAAAGATTTATATATGCTAATATTATATTTATTATGATAAAATCTAAATATAGAACTCAATAATTTATTAAACAATATTATAGTTGGTTCATAATTAACTAGAAATTTATACTTTAATTAATATTATAATACTATTGATTAATTAATATTTTCCTTTAATTTAGAATAGAATTTTAATATAAATAAAATATTATTATCAAATCCAAATAAATATTTTTAACTTTTAATAATATTTAATGATTAAGATATACCAGTTGCTATCTATATTTATATGCCAATATTATAATATTGGCGGTATAATAATATACATATAGCTAATATTATGAATTCTAATATTGTTAATTAATGGACCTTATATAAAATTATATTTTTATATGGCTTTATATACTAAATAATTATAGTAATTATTTAATGGATATTATTAAAATATCCTAATAAAAAATATTTTTTTATATTACCAATTTTATAATCCAATTAAATTTATTTTATCCGATTTACTCTTATTTTATTTGTGTTAAATCCCTAGTTAAATATCATAATATTTTTTATAAAATTATATAGTCTAAAACTTTACTCTTGTTATTAATAAATAAATAATTTTAATCTATTCGATTCATAAACTAATAAAAATATATTTTATTTTTAATGGAGTATCCTTATATAAATTTATTAAATCGTTATTATACATATTAAAGTGGAGAATATATAATAAATTGAATAAAATCTACCTCTAAAATTTATACCTTTATTTCTAGATTTAATGAATATAATATAATTTATATAATAAACAATTTTTATTTAACTCTAGGTAATAAAAAAAAAACTATAAAATTTTAGATAAGTATGGAATTTTATCAATACAATGAATTATAAAAAATATAAACCTTCTTATACTTTTTTATATTTAGGTTATAATAAGATTAGGTATATAATAAATTTTTATTATATTGAAAATAAAAGCAAACCAACCATATAAACTTTCTTTTTTTTTATCCTTATGTTTATTTTAGAGTACTTTTATTATTCTCTATCCTTCTTTATATTAGAAATTTAGTTAAACAGATAATTTATTTTTTATTTAATTTTAAGTATTACCCTTATTTTTAATACTACTTTAATTAGTTTTTACTCTTCTTTATAAATAATATTTTTGTTTCTTAATATTAAAATATAGTTAATTTTAAAAGAAATAACTGTTTTTATGTATTATTTACTTTTTAAAGTTTAATACGATAAGTTACCATCCTTCAATAATAAATTTATTCTTTTTATTTTGGTTTATAATAATAGTTAATTTATCTTATAATAAAAGACTAAATCTTATTATATTACCATTAAAAAAATTATTTATAATTTTTAATAATTTTTATAAAATAATTTTTAAAGTTCTTTTATAATTATTTACTTTTAATATCTTATTTTATTATTTTTAATTATTTCTAATTTAAAGTTATATAAAAATAGTATTAAGTATAATATGTCTAAAATATTATTATAACTTAAAAAATTTTTTAATCCTAATTTTATTCCTAAATTTTTCTTAATATATTTAATTTTATATAAAAGACTATAATCTTATAAAATTTGTTTTTTTATTTAGTTTTATTCCTTTTTTATAATTGTTTACTTTATTTATTATAAATTTTATCTTTTATAGGTATTTTATTATTTAATAAGTTATAATTATACTTTGAATAGGTAACTAAAATTTATAGTTAATTATTATTTATATAAACAATTATAATTTGTTTATTTTATTAAAAAATATTATAATAATCTAAATATAATATTATATAGTATTTATTATTTTAATTATAGGAATTAGTAGATTCGAACTACTTCCATCTAGTTGTAAGCTAGAAGCTCTACCAATTAAGCTAAACTCCCTTTTTTTTATATTTAATTTTTATTTATTATAAATTATAATACAATTATATTTAAAAATATATTATAAAATATAAATAATTTAAAAGTAAACTTATAATTAAAGACCTATTAGACTTTAAAAATTATTTATAAATAATCAGGTATATGAAGATTAATTAACATTAAATGAAATTTTATAAAATAAATAAGATCCTTGTTTAATTAATGTTAATTATAATTTTATAAAATTATATTACTAATTCTAGAGAATTAACTAATTAATATTAAATCTTAATATAAAATATAACTTTGTTATTTATGTAAGATAAAAAATTTTTTAAATAAACAAATTATTAAAAATTATTTATAAAGTAAAGTTAATAATTTATTCATTAATATTAGTTTTATAAACAGTTATATATTATAAAACTTATATCTATGATTTTATTAAAAAATATTTTTAATAAAATTATTTACTAATTATGGTACGGGTATTCAATTTAACTAATTTTTATTTAAAATTAAAATTATATTATCAAATTTTAATTTTATTCTATAAATACATTTATATAATAAAGTTTATTTATTTTTTCTAATTTATATAATAAAGTTTATTAATTTTTTCTAATTTTTATTATAAATTCCTTTTATAATAAAAATAATATTTTTATATAACTTATTATACACTACTTTTAGAATTAAAATATAATTTATAATAAAAAAATATATATATTTTTTTATATCTAAAATACAATAAAATAAATATAATTTATAAAATTATTTCTATTATATTTTCGATTATTATATAATTGGTTTTTATATTATTATATATAATAATTGGTTTTTATATTATTTTATTATAATAAGTAATCTATTTTTATTATTTATCCTTCTTTTAGTTATTATTTTTATATAATTTATTATATTAAATATTTATACTTATAATTAATTATTTTTCTTTTTATAAAATTGTAGTGGGTAACCACCGTCTGGAGTCTTCCTTTTTATTTTTATTAATTTTATTTATAAAAATTTCAACACATTAATATATAATATTATATATTTTTTTTTAATAATAAAATAATAGCCAGATTAGCTTAATTGGTAAAGCAGTAATTTTGTAAATTACCTACTATGGATTCAAATTCCGTATCTGGCTAAAAAAATATAATACCTACTTGGAGAAATTGGTAGACTCAAACGACTTAAAATTGTTAGCACTTTGTGTGTGAGGGTTCAAGTCCCTCAGTAGGTAATTAAGAGAAGAAAGCATTTTGGTATTGCAATCGCCCTGTAAAGGCGATGGTTTCGACCATTCTGGGTTCAAATCCCAGTTTTCTCAAAAGGGGGAGATAGCTTAATGGTAAAGCCTACTGCTCATAACAGGAAAGATGTGAGTTCGAATCTTACTCTCCCTAATTTTTATTTTTTTATGAATAAGTGTTTGTTTTACACATATGGTTTGTTAGCTTTAAAATAAAAATTGTTTAATTATTCGTAAAAATAAGATCTCATCATCTAAAGGTAGGATCTGGCACCTTCACTGCCATTATGTTCGTTCGAATCGGACTGAGATCAATAATAAAGGAATCGTAACTTAAAGGTTAAAGTATTTACTTGATAAGTAAGAAATAATGGTTCAATTCCATTCGATTTCAAAAAAAAAAAAGATTAGATATCTTAATGGTAAAGTATTGGGCTGCAAACCTAATTATGAATGTTCAATTCATTCTCTAATCTTATCAAAATATAAAAATTAATATATTTTGATAAACAAAAATAAATTATAGGGAATATAACTTAATTGGTAGAGTATCAAACTTTTAATTTGTATAGTTTGGGTTCAAATCCCAATATTCTCAATAAATGCCTTGATAGCTTAACAGGTTAAAGTACGGAACTGAAAATTCTGGGTAGGATGTTCGAGTCATCCTTAAGGCAATAAAAATAGCTGTAGTAGCTTAATGGTAAAGCAAATCACTGTTAATGATCGGATCTCTGTTCAATTCAGGGCTACGGCTTATATATATTTTTATAAAGGAAAAATCGCCTAATGGTATGGCAATAGTTTGCTAAACTACGCATTTATAAAATGCTTGGGGGTTCGATTCCCCCTTTTTCCGAAAAAAAACTAAAAGGATTATATTTTCCTATAAAATTAAAAAAAAAATTATAAATGAAATTAGCTTTATTATTATTTTTAATAGGTATTTATGGTATAATTTTAAATAGAAAACATTATCTTTTAGTTTTAATATCTATAGAGATAATATTATTAGCTGTAACTATTTTAATTCTTTATTTTTCTATTCTTCATGATGATATGTTAGCTCAAATATTTGGTTTATATATAATATCTATAGCAGCAGCTGAATCTGCAATTGCTTTATCTATATTAGTTGCTTATCATCGATTAAGAGGTACAATAAATATAATAATTTCTACAGAAACTGCTTTACTTCCTAAATTTATTTTATAAATTATAAAAATAAATTAATTTTCTATATTTTACTTTACTTTTTAAATTAATAAAAATTTAAATTATAATTCTCATATAAGGGTAGATGACTGAGTTGGTTTAAGGTGCTTCGCTTGAAACGGAGAGAAGTTTTGAATAATTTCCATGGGTTCAAATCCCATTCTGCCCGATAACGGATAGTAGCGTAATAGGTAACGCGTCTAATTTGGGATTAGAAAATTGTAAGTTCGATTCTTACCTATCCGAATAAAAAAAAAAAATTATGGCAAATAAAAAAAAGAAATAAAAAAAAAATAAATAAAAATGAATACATTATTACTATTTATTATATTAACACCAATTATATTAATAACTTTATTAGTAGTTAGTCTTATAATACCTGTCAATAAACCTGATTTTTCTAAATTATCACCTTATGAATGTGGTATGGATACTATAGGTACAGCTAGAGAAAAATTTAATATACAATTTTATTTAATAGCAATATTATTTTTAATATTTGATATAGAAATAATATTTTTATTTCCTTTTGCTTCTGTTTTATATAATATTTCTTTATTTGGTTTTTGAATTGGTACAATATTTATACTTGTATTAACTATAGGATTTATTTATGAATTAAGTAAAGGTATATTAAATTTTACAAATAATTAATGATATATAATTCTCTTTTTTATAAAGAAAAAAAACAAATAAAAATAAAGAATGGAGAAATAATTTAATTGGTAAAATACTGATCTCCAAAATTAGTTTTAAAGGTTCAAATCCTTTTTTCTCTGTATAAATTTTTATACACTCTTAACTTAATAGGTAAAGTAATAATCTTCGAAATTATTAATATAGGTTCAATTCCTATAGGGTGTTTATAAGGCGAATATAGTTTAATGGTAGAACTACAATTTGTGGCATTGTTAATATGGGTTCAATTCCCATTATTCGCCTTAAAATTATAAAATAAACTCGTTTAGCTTAATTGGATAAAGCATCGATCTTCTAAATCGTATACTGTGGGTTCAAATCCTTCAACGAGTGAAAATATAATAAAGAAGATTAAAAAAAAAAAAGTAAGAAATTATGATAAAAGTAAAAGAAAAAATTAAATATTAAAAAAATGATTATATTATTATTATTAATACCTATAATAGGTTTCACAATTAGTTTAAAAACTACTGAAAATAAAAAAATAAAACAAATAGGATTAGCTATATCTATGATAAATTTCATAATATCTATAATATTATGAAATAGATTTAATTATAGTTGTATTCAACCACAATTTTTAATGAATTTTACAGATATAATTGCAGTAGGTATAGATGGAATATCATTATTATTTATATTATTAACAACATTTATTATAGTTATATCTATATTAGCTAGTTGAAGTATAGAATTAAATATAAAATATTTTATAAATTCATTATTATTATTAGAAACTATATTAATAGGTGTATTTGTTATATTAGATATGTTAATATTTTATATATTTTTTGAAGCTTCACTTATACCTATGTTTTTATTAATTGGTTTATTTGGTAGTGATAAACAAGGTTATAAAAAAGGTAAAGCAAAAGAAGAATTAACTAGAGTATATGCAACTTATCAATTTTTTTTAATGACATTAGCTGGATCATTATTAATGTTATTAGCTATATTAACTTTATATTCTTTTTCAGGTAGTTATGATTATATTTTTATTTCTTCATCTTATTTTTCACCTTCAAGACAATTTATTTTATGATTAGCATTTTTTATTTCTTTTTCTATTAAAACACCTTTATTACCTTTTCATCAATGATTACCTTTAGCACATACTGAAGCACCATTAAGTGGTTCTATAATATTAGCTGGTAAACTAATGCTAGCTTAAAATTTAGCTATATGCTGGAAACTGCCAAATATATAATATCTATATTTAGCACAATCAGCAGGAAACTATATTATATTTGATATTCGATATTTGTCGAAAGTTAAAATATTTTTAATAAATTATATAGTATCCTCAGAGACTACACGCTAAAAATAATAAACAGTTCTGAAATATTTTATAAATATATCCATTAAATTTATTATACAAGTCATTTTATGTTTATCATATATATTTTTTTATAATATTTTCCTACTTTTACTAATAAATTTTTATAAACTTATTTTACTCATTTTTATTTAAGTTCTTATTTAGTCGGTTAATATAACATAATTTATTTACCTTAAAAGGTATATTAATACACCTAATATTATTACTTTCTCTAGTAAAAATTATCTTTCACTGGGTATATTATAAATTAATATTTTATATATTAAAGGTAAAAATAGCCGTCACCATAATATGGGTGACGAGAAAAGTTTTATAGTAAATTTTATTAATGGTCAGTTCAGATTATCTAAATTAAATTTATTTTATAAACTTATTGAATGGCTTTATATAAAATATATTTATATTATTTTTTTTTTTTTTAACTTTTAAATTTAAATAATCCGTGATTTATCCATAGGTTTAATTGAAACTTATGATTATTTTTCAATAAGAATATCTATAAATAAAAAAATATTAATTTATAAAAACTCTTTGTAGTTTAGAATAAGTATAAAACAAAAAAATTAATATTAAAATAATTTCTTATTTTGATATAATGTTTGAAATAAGTAAATTATTATTATGTAAAATTAAATAAATTTATATTACTTCTAAAAATCGTTATTGAAAAATACTAATTTTAAGAATTATTAAAAAATTATCTGATAGCTAGCTATCTAGTATTAAATATTTATATTATAAAGGTTAAGAATAATTTTATAAACAAAAGAAAAAGGATATAAAAATTATTATGAAAATAAAATATGAATAATAGAAGAACTTGTTTTTATAGAAATCATTTATTAAATTTTTATAAAATGTAATCAAACTGTTTTAATTATTAATATATAGTCCTAATCGTATGAAAACATACGTAGTATCTATTTTATAAACAATTTTTAAAAAGAATAAATAAAATTATTTGGGAAAAATATCACTAATAATATTATTCATAACTTTTTAGTAATAGATCAAAATTAAATAAAAGATTATGTTAAAATTAGCCACTTATGGATTTATAAGATATTCTTTAAATTTATTTCCAGAAGGTTCTTATTATTTTTTACCTTTAATATTACCATTATCAGTTTTAGGTATAATTTATTCTTCTTTTACAACTTTAAGACAAATAGATTTTAAAAAAATTATTGCTTATAGTTCTATTGGTCAAAATGGCTCTTAAATATAATTAAATAATAATTATATTACGTAATACACTATATGCAGAAAACTTAAAATATTTTATAATATACTTATTGGTTTAAGATTAATCTTAAACAGTATTTATATTTATTATTATTTAAATACTAATTTAAATATTATATTTAATTTTTATATATTATTTATAAAATATGATCTTTTTTATTTTATATAGTTAAAATATGTATTTTTATAATTTATAATATTAAATTTATTCTCTATATTGATATATATTAAGAATAATTAAATATATTCATATAAAATTAGATTAGTAAAAATTTTAAATAATAACAGATACCATATCGTGTCTGAGTTAAGTAATCCGCAGATAATTAAAGCATTTAATAATATGTTAGTAAGAATCTCAGAGACTATACGTGTATTATTAAATAATAAAAATATGTACCTTTATATTCTTTATTTTATAAAAATAGTTTATTTAGTTAAATTAATGGTTATTTAAATAATTCTTATTTAGAAATAAATAAAAAAAAAGAAGTTATTTAAGTAATTCTTATTTAGAAATAAATAAAAAAGAAGTTATTTAAGTAATTCTTATTTAGAAATAAATAAAAAAAAAAAGTTATTTAAGTAATTCTTATTTAGAAATAAATAAAAAAAAAAGTTATTTAAATATAATTTTATAATGTTCTAAAAATAATTAATAAAAAAAAAAGTTATAATATATTATTTAAGATTTAATGAAAGTTTTATTAAATTTATTTATTTAATAAATAGAAATATTAAAACGTCAAATAATAATTAAAAATATTTTGTTATAAATATAATATTATAATTTTTAAACGTATAAAGTTATAAATTTAGAAGAATATTATAAATTTTTAATGTATAGAGTTATAAATTTAGAAGAATATTATAATTTAAAAACGTATAGAGTTATAAATTTAGAAGAATATTATAATTAAAAAACGTATAGAATTATAAATAAAAAAGAATATTATAATTAAAAAACGTATAGAATTATAAATTAAGAAGAATAAATTATAATTAATTATTTTTTTATAGTAATGGCTTTATATCTTATAATAAAATTAATAATTATATAACTTAAAAGAAAAAATTATTAATTTGTATTAGATATGTTAAATAATAAATAAATTATATTGGTTTTATTATATATAAAGAATATAATTTATATAATTTAATAGATAATTATTTAAATATTTCTTATTTTATAATAAATAAATTTGAAAATATTATATAAATTAGTATTTATAAAGTTTAACAAAATAAAATTAAAAAAGATAAAAAAATTTATAATTATAATAATCTTTCTTGTCACATTTATTAATCATAAAAATTATAATAAATTTATACCTAATTTTATATTATAAAAGTTATTTTATATTTTAACTAAAATAAAAATTATAAAAGAATTTTAAACGTGTTATGTTTTATTATTTAATAAAGAGATAGTCCATATATATTAATTATTAAATAAATTTATAAATCGTCTATAATATAAAAAATAGAGATAATAAAATTACTAATAAATTTATATATTAGCACATGGCTATAGCAATAATGAGTTTATTTTCTTTTTTATATCAAGGTTTATCTGGATCTATATTTTTATCTATAGCTCATGGTTTTACTTCTCCAGGTTTATTTATTTGTGCTGCTATTTTATATGATAGATTTCATACTAGAATTTTAAATTATTATAAAGGTTTAATAAGTTTAATGCCTATATTTGCTATAATATTATTTTATTTAATTTTAGCCAATATGGCTACTCCTCTTACTAATAATTTTATTGGTGAATTTTTATCTTTTATTGGTATATTTGAAACTAATTTATTTATGGGTATGTTAAGTTCTTTAAGTATTATTTTTGTTGCTATTTATTCTATTTGATTTTTTGATAAATTATTTAATGGTTCTTATTCTTTATATTTAAATTCTGTTTCAGATTTTTTATCTGAAAGATATTTCTTTTTAATATTAT